ACAAAATACATCCTCCGTGCCGTGCTCGATCTCCAAGACAGGTGTGGACACTTCCGGCGGCGGATGGATTGATGAATTCCCGAAAACGATCGCTACCCCTTTCCCGTGAGGGTATTTTAGCATCTGATGTAGAGTGGAAGAGATTGCTTTGACCTGGTGCAACCACGGTCGCCCCAAAAGTAGGTTAAATGTTGCGGGAACGTCCAAGATATGAAATTCGATGTTGTGTTGTCCTGGACCAACCTTGGTTTGAATTTTAACAGTCCCCATCACTTCTCTGCTGGTATTGTCGTATGCTCTGATCACTTGGGTAGTTGGGACGAAGTCCGCGGGTTTTAACCCGATTGCATATGCCGTTCTGGTCGGGCAGACATTAATCGCAGACCCGGTATCAACAAGTACCACCGGTATCCACTTATCTCTACATTCCACGGAAATATAGAGAGGTTTGTTATGATTTGTGCCCTCAGGCGGTAGTTCCTTGTCCGAAAAGGTTAGTGCCGGGGAACCTCCTCCCGGAAAAACCAGCCCGACCAGCTGTTCAGGGGTGGTATCTATGGAGAGTTTGGATTTGTCCATAGCAAACAGGACGGCTTCTTTATGTACCCGCGATGCCATCAGCAGTCCCCAGATGGAGATGTCTGCTTGTATCTTCTTTAACTGTTTCAGCACAGCTTCCTCCTCAATCTGCTTCTCCTTCTGTTTCTCCGCTTCTCTATCCTTCCCGGATGCCTCGGGTTGGTCTATGTGTGGGGGTTTGAAGTACCGCCCACTTCTCGTCATATGGTCAACCTCATCGAGGTACCAAGTGTCGTCCGGTTAATTATTTCCCCAATCTTCATCCGTGTGGGCAAGACATAAGTCATCGTCTTCCCACCACATTCCGTCAGCAGCCAACAGACACTTGTCTGGCTCCGGTTCAGTTGCACTCCCAATGCTCTCCGTCCACATGCTCGCAGCATTCTCTATCTTCGTGCACACAGCACTCTCAGTCCCCTCAGGGCCTTTAGCCTTTCTAATTCTCTCGGCATCCTCAAACTTTTCTCGTTCCAGCTGCGTCAGTACAGTCGGTTGTTTAACAATTCCTGTATCCATAATGCCCAAATCTCGAGCGGAATTCTTAGCACCGGCGCTCTCCGGCGATACAACTTGACTTCCGGCCATTCCGGCCACAGCTGATACTCCTGCCCCTGCCGGGCTCTGTTCTGGTTGGGCTTCCCCCACTTCATCTGGTTGATCCTCGAGCCATCCAGTGGCCTCTACCGATTCCTCATAGTCGAACCAGTTGATTGCCGAATCCCCCGGTTCCTGGTCATCGAAAAATTGCAGGTTGGCAAAGTCCTCCTCTACGGCTGTCAGATCATCTGCCCCTAGCCCAGATCCATCCCCCCGGATCATGCATAGCTCTCCTGTCTCTGGCAATTCTATACCTAGCCCAATTCGGCTCGTTGATAGGATGTACTCGCTTGGATCATAGGCTCCCCCAGCAAAACTCTGTCCAGTCCCAGATTGAACAATCTCATTCTCTCCCGAAATCTGCCCTGCCCCATCTTCGACGGTCACCACCATCGGCTCTGGTTGGGTTTTGATTGTATGTCGAAGAAGATTTCAAAACCAGGCACGCGCTTCCTCTCCGCGTTCAGGGGCTCTGTTCTGGTTGGGCTTCCCCCACTGCATCTGGTTGATCCTCGAGCCATCCAGTGGCCTCCGCTGATCCCTCATAATCATACCAGTTGATTGACGCATCCCCCAATTCCTGGTCATCGAAAAATTGCAGGTTGGCAAAGTCCTCCTCTACGGCTGTCAGATCATCTGCCCATAGCCCAGATCCATCCCCCCGGATCATGCATAGCTCTCCTGTCTCTGGCAATTCTATACCTAGCCCAATTCGGCTGGTTGATAGGATGTACTCGCTTGGATCATAGGCTCCCCCAGCAAAACTCTGTCCAGTCCCAGATTCAACAATCTCATTCTCCTCCTGAAATTTGCCCTCCCCGTCTTCGACGGTCACCACCATCGGTTCTGGTTGGGTTTTGGAGATGTCCACCATGCACAAGAAGTCAGTGCAGTCGGGTAGGAATACCTCCGGCTTGGGTAGGTGGGTCGGGGTGATATAGATACTGGGATCGTAAAATGCGACCCCAGTTTGGATAAAATTAATTCTGTTGGGAGGGGGAGGTTGGTTATGTGGTGGGAGAGGGTTGGTTGTGACATTGGGTTTATCAGGAGGTGCGATCACCTGTTTGTCAATAAGATGTTGGATCTCATGATGCAATCTGTAACAACGGTCGGTGTCGTGACCGTGTTGTTGGTGATATGCGCAGTATTTTGACGGGTCATGAGAGGGAGGGAGTGGATTTGGTAGTGGCTTCGGCTCCAGGGGTTTCAAATGTTTCTTTTTGATCAATACCCCTAGAGCCTTGGTCAGGGGCATGTATAGTGGGGTAAAGGTTCTTTGGCCTCGCGGTTGGAATCTGTTGGTTTGTGTGTTGCTTCCGGACGCGCCGGAGAAGGGTGTGGCAGCCATGGGCCTTGGAGGGGGAGGGGGAGTGGTGGTGACCATACTGACTTCCGAGGCTCTTGTATTTGCAGCGCCACTCGGGCCCGCATTGTTGTTACGGTTGAAGGTCCTCCTCGGCTGTTCCCTGTCGTGGTCAAACAGACCTTGTTTCATTGCGTGTTCGATTTGCACCCCCATCTCATGTAAATCTGTGAAAGTAGGGAAGGGGACTACAATCATTCTCTGCATTAACTTTGGATGGAGATTGCGCACAATCATCCGAATTTGATCTTTGTCAATGGGCCTTAAAGTCATCATTGACGCTTTTGCCCTCCATCGGATCACAAAGTCCGAGAAAGTTTCCTTGGGCTCTTGCCTTGTCGTTTCGAGATCACGGGTTGTGATCTCGATCTGAGTGTTGTATGAATATTGTGCGACAAAGGCCTCAGCCATTTCATCCCAATTCCTTTTCACTTCATCTTGTAACTTTGCGTACCAGTGGGCGGCCACACCCGACAGGGTTCGGCCGAATAGTGAAAGCTTCTGTGGTCGTGTTAGGCCCATTGGCCGCAAGATGTCTGCGAATAGTCTGAGATGGACCATGGGGTCGCCGGACCCGTCAAAGCGGTCGATTTGTGGCATTTTGAACCTATCGGGGAGTGTTACGGCCTCCTCGGTATATCCGTCTTCGATATCCGGCATAGCCTTGACCCCTTGGGATTTCTTGAAGGGCTTCTCAAGTTTGCTCAATTTTAGAGCTGTATGATCAACCTCGAACTCGAAAGGAGAGTCCGGGCGATTGGGTGCATGGACCTTGGACAGTTGTGGTGGAAGCGGGGGCGGAGCTGGCCCCGTTGGGAGGTTGGTGTCCTCTTGCAGGTTCTGGATAGTCGGCACAGTATTCTGGATGTTTGGAGGAGCGTTCTGAACAGCAGGTGTCTACTCAGGTAATGGAGCCCCTGCCGGAGGAGGAATTTGTTGTGAAGCAGATGCTGCATTCTGCTGTTGCAGCCTGGTAATCAGCTCAGCCTGCTGGGTCATAATCTCGG